TCATAGAATTTTACCATTTTACATATTTTTCTAGATATAAAAAAAACATTAAAAATTTTTTTAAAAATAATAATTGATATTTGAATTTTTCATACACGCATAACAATTTGTGTGACAAAAAAGAAAAAGACCTCTAGATCACAAGCAAGTTAAAATATAATAAAACTTAAGTCCTTCAAAATTAACGTTTATCCCAAATTTTAGAATATGCATATATCTGTAGATATAGTCATCTCTTTATATGTTTGTGGCATTTGTTTAGAGAATATTCTCTATAAAAGAGAAATAATCCAAATTACATCCTTTGTAGAATGCAGTTAGTTATGGGGTAGAGAGGGCGATTGTGCATACACGCATTGAGCCGGCTTTCTGCGTATGGAGATATAAACTGACGTCGAAACAGTTTGACGGACGAGATCGTGTAAAGTTCAAAATACAAAAAAACGCACGACGAAGCACCTGTCAAATCACATTATCGGGCATGGTCAACACCCGTGCGTCGATGCCATATGCCTCGCATGATCGCGCGGTTACGCGAAATATCGAAAGCGTCATGTATTGTTTTTCCTCTCTTTCCCCATCTTCCATACGTGCTTTTTCACATGAGCTCGCGACCGACAATGATAAGCGGCACTCGGTCAAGCGATCGAGTAATTAATGACAAACAAGGGGAAACGCTTCATCCGCCAGCGGTTTTCCGCTGGAAAAGCTTCGAGACATTCAATTAGGCAACTCGCCAATCGTATATATAATCGGGCGAGAGCAGGTCGAATATACGATCGTGCCAAGTGATCGATCAATTTTTTTTACGACATACTCTTACTCGTTCGCAATCGCGAGAGCTATGACTCGTTGCAATATGCAAATTATACAAAGGGTACACGCAAAGAAGATATTTATCAACATTTTACTTTTTCTGACATTTCCATCATGGTACAAACAGAATTAATCGTTCAAGATCGTGTGTGCAGTCTGTTATATTAAAATTCTATTATTTCACGAACAGGCTTTGTAACATTCGATTGGTAGTTATAAAAAATTAATATCAGCAAATATTCGCATATATTACGTGAAAAATTAGGTGATTAGGTTTAAAAAAATATATTTAATTAAAACTATTTTTGAGATTTTATCAATTGTTGTTTTAAAAAAGTGACAGTTTCAACCATCACGATGAGTTATACGCATACCTATGTAATGTCAATCAAAATTGAAATAAAGATTAATTAATTGATGAATAATTTTTAGAAAAATTCTTAAAAATTTCATAATCTTAGAATCTAAAAAATAATTTGAGCTCAGAGTGGGCGAAATAAATTCGTTTGTTCACTTTGTGTGTAAGCAATACAAATCGATGTCATTTAAGAATAATGTTGCGAAATAAACGGATCACGTCAGACATATTTTCTCATGGAAAAACAGAATCTAAAAAAACATTTGTGATATGACTATGATCACATTAACGCGATGCGGTAAAAAAATGCGCTCTACTGTCTCACAATTAGAGTGAGGAACGAGATTTCGACGGGCCGGTTACTTTTTCAATTCCGGAAATACGCTGTGCGCCAAGCACGATCGATATCTCGACGAGTTCCGCAAACTCCCGACGATGTACGAAACCAGTGACGCTCGGACTGCATCTAAATTTATGATACATTATTCTACTTAAAATAGATCTGCACAATTATCTCTTTATTTAAAAAAATATATTACAGATTTTTTTTTATAAGCGAATGCAAAGAACTTTCACTTTTACATAGAAAGATATGATAAACTTATCACCTGGCACTTATTTGTATGCTTCGATTAAAATTCTCCGTTCATTTACTTAATCAAATTTTATTGAAGATATTAATTTCACATATAGATATATGCATGACAATACAAAATTTATCGCATCGTTAAGATTTCGCTGCATAACTGTCTAATGATCGTTCTTATGTATATGCGCACTACCTACTGCAATTTGCGCATTTTGACATATGTAGCACTTGATTAGGGAACGCAAAGGTCGCAGGTTACGGTGCTCGTTATCCATTGTCATATACATTGCAATATGCAAATCTCATAAGCTAGACACATTCGTGATGTGACAATTTCCATTTCACGTATATGTAGATGTTCTTTCACACGCAAGTGTTTGACCCCGACCACAACGAGAAGGTCAAAGATCAGTAACCACAACTGTACTCCCGAACGAATCTAACAGGCGCTGCCGGTGACCGGCTTACTTAAAAGGCCCGGCAGTAGTGAATGAATGACGAGCGAACAGTGTGTGAATGTATACCTGCGAACCCTCGTTCCCCTTTTGTCCCTTTAAGAGGGCAATAAATAGAAACATTCGACAATCAGACAAATAACGATAGCCGGGTACGGATGTCACAGTATTCTATAGCACATTAGTGACATTTGTTGGCACGTGGCACTGTATTGTGTTGTGCAGCCTCCTAATTTGACACGCTCAAGTTACGTCAAATCAATCGCATTTTACGGGTGCACATAAGAAAAAAATTAATTTCAAATTATTCGATATCTCTGAAAAGACCAGTTAAGAAAAACACAAATGACACAAGTGTGTTATGCACTTGAGAGTTAATTATTTAAAAATATTGTTCACGCGAGATCACAATAATGACAAAAATATATCAAAATACTTTGCTTTCTGTACTATACTCGAAAAAATACACACAATTGTATACAATTTGAATTCAAAAAATGGATATAAAATATATACGATCTATTGTGATTAGTCCCAAAAATATTTTTAAAGGGACCTCTGCCTCCTCCCTATCATTAATACAATTAGAAAAGATCCTGACCGCTCGATCGCTATTTGATCCGCTTGTCGATACGTAAGTAGGATAAATAGGTGCAGTAAAGCCTTACCTGTTGCCAGTGATCCTCGAGCGATGGCTGGGCCGAGAAATATCCGGTGTCGTGTATGTCCTGCAGCTCTCGAAATATATTGCCGCTCGGTAGGAGCGTATCCATGGCTACGCGCGACTACGAAGTCCCTCGCGGCGGCCCTCCGCTTCGGCCTCCTCTCGCAGGGACGCGGCGGTCAAGCGCCAAGCAAAGAGCAAATCCAATCAACCAACTGGCCAACCAACCGACGAACCAACAAATGACAAACTGACACGGCCGAGCCCTGACGCGACACTCGCTCGTACTCGCGCTCGCGACACGATAATAAATCAACTCGATTCACTTCTGCGGAACGCGGCGTCCGCTACGTAACGGCTACTCGCGACGACTCGCGCGGCTCACGTACGCACGTAAATATAGCAGGTAGCGGTGCGAGCGCACGTGCGTATCATCAGTGAGAGGTTTCCCCCTCCACTGTGATAGACGCGAGACAGAAACACGGCGACGAGAGACGATAACGTCTTCACTCCGCGAGGACGCCCGGACGAATGTTCCGATCGCGGTTATGAAAGGACGGGTTTTGAAAGCGATCGATTCTTTCCGCGCGAATCGAAGATCGATTATCGATTATCGGAGATGACGATTACTCGATTACTCGCGCACACAACACGTCGAAAGATGGCACTCTCTCTCTCTATTCCGCGCGCACACAATGTCGAAGAAAAAATTACGCTTCGTTACTGTTGTTGTTTCTGCATCGTCGGAGAAAAAACACACGATTGAAACTCACTGCGACGACATCACTCGTGCGGCTCGACGCTCTGTCTGCTGGCGTCGCGTGCACGGTTCGCTTACGACAGTATCCATCACACACGGATATGAGGGAAACGCGGGAAAAGAGGCGCGCGAGGCAACATCAAAATGTCGGCGCGAATCGTCGTCCTTATTGCGCCGGGTTCTCACCTTTTTCCTCTTCCCGAAACAATTCCGTGCATTCACTGATAATGAGAAACACACACGCGACCGTCTCTCTCTATCTCTCTCTCTTCCGATCTATCGTATCTTGCGTACCGGCTTGTCTCTCGCGTATATCAAGAAGCGAAATGCCGGTCTCTCTCTTTCTCTCTCTCTTTATCTTCTTTCTTTCTCTCTCCCTCTCTCTCTCTCTCTCTCGCCTCGTCGTGTCACTACACGGAATCGCGATAGACACGCACGATCGCTTCGGATTGCACGTCACCGAGTAAAAGAACCACGGGATAACACTTGCGAGATTTATTCCGTACGGACCGGCGAAATTCCCGATCACGAAAGCGAACAGACTCCTCCGCACGAGTGCCGAAGAGTAACTGCCGTTCCTCTCGCCGTAACTGAACGCGAGCAGCTCCGAGGGCGGCCGAATGGAGCCGAGGACGCACGATTCGGCGCGACACGACGCCGCTCTCGGCGGCCGCGCGACATTGCGGCAGCACCATTCGATCATGTCGTGATGCCGGTCGTAGATTTTGCGCGAAAAAAATAAACACGCTACGCGGGGAGCCGGAATCGACGACTCCTTGTGTAGACTTTTTATTCCGCATAAAATTGCACCGTGTAGGCAAAGTGGCACTTTGTGTGCGTGTTTTCTGTACGGAAAACGGCTGATTTCCCACGCCGCCATCTAGCGGCGACGCGGTGAGTGAATAAGCCGCATTCAAAGCCATTGCCTACGGCTGAACCGCGTTCAAAGTCATTGTCTACGGCTAAAGCCGTGGACAATGACTTTGAACGCGGCTATTCCCGCACCGTGCCGTCGCAAGATGGCGGCGTGCGATCAACTACCTCGCGCACAGAAACGTGCACAAAGCCACTTTGCCTGCACTTGTAATACAAAATAGTATGTGTATCAAGTGCGGAAAGTTGACAATTGTTCACTCGTGTGGGATGGTTGCACTCGCCTTCGGCTTGTGCGTCCATCCCCCGCACTCGTGACCAATTGTCAACTTTCCGCACTTGATACACAATATACTTTAAATCTTGATACTAATATAATTTAAATCAATTGTTTCTTTTACCAAAGAGATATATATATGTAACATGCATGTATGAATATATGATTTGAATACAACATGGCGTCGCGATGTTGGTTATAGATTTTCGTGGAAAAAATACGAACGCTACGCAGGAAGTCAGAAATAAAGTTTATTTAAGGACTACTCGGATCAACAACTTATTGTACAAATTATTCCGTAAGGCGTGGAAAATTGCACCGTCTAATTCCTGAATCTTTAATGGTGAGTAGTGAGAGAAACAATTGATTTAATACAACAATATATATGTATAAATTTATGATTGGCATATAATATAGTATAGCGTTGCGATGTCGATTAGAGATTTGTGCGGAAAAAAATAAACACGACGATGCGCAAGAAGCCTAGAACAAAAAATATTTAAAGGATCATATCGACAACATATTGCATAGACTATTCTGCAGGAGTTGCACTGCCTAATTCCTGAATTTTTAATGGTGAGTAAGACAAATAATATTGATTTAATAATAACATATATGTATATGTATGAAACATATGATTTGAATGTAATATAATGTTACGGTGTTGATTGTAGATTTGTGCGGAAAAAAATAACCACGACGTTACATAAGGAGCCAAGGATTTAAGGATTTATTTAAGGACTCATATCGACAACTTATTGTACAGACTATTCTGTAGAAGATTGCACCGCCTAATCCCCAAATTTTTAATGGTGAATAAGAGAAAGAATTGATTTGATATAACATGTATATGTATAAATATTATATTTGTTAATATAATATGTGCTTATACATTTCAAGCACGATAAAATAAAATAAAATATTAAAATACATTTGGCAATGCATTAATTTTTGATGATAATTTATTTTTCTAGTCAGTAATTAAATAAAATGAGATTTGTACCATAAATTTTTGGATATTTTTTTTTTTACATTTAAATATTCGATCATTTTTCAAACATATATATCATATATTTTTACATATAAAAAATATCATACATATACATACACAATTTTCAATATTTTACATAATTTTACATAAAATAATTTAATTTTGATATTTTGAGCAACAATTTTATTCTTTTTACGATTTTCTACGATGGGAACAATATATTCTTGAAATATATAATTTTGTTGTGGAAATGATTAAGTTATAAGATTAATTAAAAATATTATTGTGTGTATATATATATATATATACAATTAAATACTACGCTGAAAAAATATACTTTACACATTTTTTTCTTTACGATCAATTCTTTAGTGAAAAAAAAATCTGCAACAGTATGTGCGCAAAATCTTCCATAATTTGTTCTTTAATTGCATAATTTCGCAACAATTGCAAGAATCGAACATTATTTCAATTACAGCATTATAATCATTATCTTCGCAAACCGATATTACGTTCCGTTTGAATTACGCATATAGACAATACGCTTCGAATTCCCATTCAAACAGTAATAGAGTAAAGGTTGCCTTTAATTTATGTGCCTATCTTACTTTTATACCCCAACCACGGTCAATTATTCAGGATTCTAGTTTCAACTTTGCGCGGCAAAGATTTGTAACTAATGTATTATGCATCAGAAACAAAAACTTGGCTAGAAAAATTTTGCAAAATCTATTTAGAGGGTAGAAAAATATAACTTTGCTATAAAAACTATAATTTATATTTATCATTTCTTATCTTGTTTTATTAATCTGAATCACGGAAAAAAAGAATTAGCTACTATAGCTAAATTTTAGCTGTCCATATATTACAACCTGAAATTTAGTTATTATGCCAAAATTTTAGCTATGGTAACAAATATTTTTTAGCCATAGTTTAACGGAGAATGTTATAGCTAAAAAATATTAGCTGTCATAGCTCAAATTTAGGCACGATAACTAATGTCATGTGTAATATATGAACAGCTAAAATTTAGCTACGGTAGCTAATTCTTTTTTTCCGTGATAATGCATCTCACACATACGTACAAACATATATTAAAGTTATTATTATATAATGTTAAATTAACTATTCAATGAGAAAATCATAGTTTCAATAATGTTAAATTAAATTTCATAAAAAAATCAAGAAAACTTGTTAACGGGTGCTTTTAACTTTTATTCTATGTATTTATTGCATATTTTACATTTACATTTTTTCTATTAAGAGTATTATTTTTTAAATATAGTTTTTTTATAAAATATATACATATATAAAAGAGCAATATGTATATATATAAATATTGCTCTTTTATACATGTATATATTTTATAAAAATACTATATTTAAATATATATAAATTTATTATTTTTCGTGTAGAATAGTTTCATAAATCTATCTCTAAGGTTGATCCTAGCCAAAAAGATTTGCATAACATTGAGATTTAACTGAGAGAAACGGTTCGTTCTGCGAATCGACTACGAGAAATGCACAAGCACGGAGCATACGAACGCGCAGAATTATTTGCAAATGAATAATCGCTCGTGAGTCAACCGAGAGAACCGAGAGAGAGAGAGAGAGAGAGAGAGAGAGAGAGAGAGAGAGAGAGAGAGAGAGAGAGAGAGAAGACGAACGCCTTGTGTCGCCGTACATGATTCATGAATTTTGCGCGTTCGTTAAAGCCTTTCTATAAACGCTGGTACAGCGCAAGGGAATGCCAGACGTAAGCAACGTTTATGGCGAATGGAATTAGAAGACTGACCGCGCTTATCAGACCCGTACCTTGTTTCCGCTCGAGCTATCGCAGTCGAGCTATCGCTTGTTGGAGGCTGGCCGTGCAATTCGAAAAATATTTTTTTAATCGATTATTGTACTCGAATCGCTTTGTTTGCGTGCTCGACATTTCTGTCGCACTACACAATCGGTCTATGTGAAGTACAGCTGAAAGAGTCTTGATCGTAACAATAGCTTGGGATCGATAGCGTCTCGATCAATGATACTCTATTGACAATATTTTTAAAAGTGGTATTTTTTACAAAATTTTAAATGCATCTTTCAATCGCAAGTCTTATAGTAATAGATAGAAATATCAAAGTAAATTACACGTAATATTTTTCCTATTTTCTTAAATCCGTAATTAGCAAATTACAATGCATCAAATTATACGTACATACATATGTATGTATATTTTAAATTATTTTAAGGGGAGGAAGATCCTTTCTCCAACATTTATCTCGAAATTGTTCTATGTCCGCGGGAGTACTGCAGATATTATCTGTTAAATTGCGAGCAGAATGTATAGCACTGCGTTGGAACCTGACCTCATGTAACCTTTCAACTTCGGCTGCGTGTTTCTCGGATACATTCGCCGTTCAGTAGGTTAAGACGCCCGGCACCATAAACATGCTAGCCGCAGTTGGACTCAAGCCCAACCCTCGAAAAGCTTTCTTGTAACGGGATACAGTAGTACGTCGATTCTTGCCGCGAAACGAGGGATGTTTGTTGGACACAAAATCTTTCTCTCTCTCTATCTCTCTCTCCTTCTCCTGCATGCTGCGCATATCCCAATAAAATTACTCGATTGGGCATCCGGGTCCCATTAACATATTAATTCAATTATTCAGTTTAGAACGTTATATTACGCTGATCGATGTTTGTAAACCGTATTGCATTTCTAGCATGAAATGCTACGAGCATACGTAAATAATTTAACAGGATGGAACGTCGAGTTTCAACCCTTTGCTGATCCGAGTTTTAGTTAGGAAAATAAAGCGATATGATAATTAAATATAAAATATCGTGAGCATGCGAAATATTGGTGCAAAAAAGTTGTTGCTCTTAATGCCATACAATTTTGTTATAAATATTCCACTACTGTAGCAATTTTTATATACATATAATATTGCATTACTTTATGCAATGCTACATTAATTACGATAGCATAATGTATTCTTTATCCCTATTATATTTATATATTATTTTGAATAATTAAATAATAATATCGCTGTGAGATATTATTTACGGCCTATAATAAATAACTGTTATTTCATAATATTTGCAATTATAAAGCATATATAGGTATACATGAAAATGATATTTCGAAATGATGATCAAATCTTCGAAAGTGCTCGTACTGCTCGTCATGATTTTCATAAATCTTCACACAGTTATAAAATACCTTGTTAAAAGCTGCTTTGCTTAACAAGATTTATATATTATTCCGCAACAAAGTTTCTTTATATTTCTATCACAGACAAAGATTAATAACAATAGGCAGCCACGTCGCCAATATTTAGTGCATGTTTTTTCTTCTTCTAAATCGCGCCAGCAATCCCGACGATCCGTGCCTAGAGCGCAAGAAACGTGCTAAAAATGACGTAATCTCGGTTGCATAATGCTACGGCAAATGTTCGCAGCATATGCGCCACTATTCGTGTCAACTATTATTCTTCGAACGACCCTCAGCGCGGCGTCATTGGCCACGCTGCGCATTCGCGCATCCTTGAAACCGGAATTTATGGGACGAGGCTGTATATAGACACTTATGTGGTCTACCGTCTAGGATTTCTTTCGATAATGTCGCGTAGATCATTTCGTGAAATTGTAAACGGTATTAGCCGAGCGGAACGTATCGAAGATATGTACGAGCATCTTCGTCAATGCCGGAAGTTACGACGATAATTATTATTAACGGCTTCCAAAGAAGAAATCCCTAATCTCGTAATCCTATCGCCCACGCCAGATGATTCTAATACGTCGTGCTGAAAATTTGCGCTAGACAGATTATGCCGACAAAACGTATAGCGACGACTATGACGTCTAAGCCTTCGAAAATAATTCTTAATATTTCTTACGATCAAAAGAAAATATCGCGATTATATAAATTCAAGATATAATTAGAAGTTACATATATGATTAGTTTAAATATATGGTTTCTTTATTGAAATGTTATGTCGTGCAGATATAAATGATGTAAATGTTGTATCTGAATTTTCATTTACTCTTCGATGCTTGAAATGTCTCGAATATTTCCGATTAATATTTGCGTTGATTTTATTATACTTTAATAGTGTAATAAACTTTAATCGTGCAATCGGTATACACATATACATATAATTATCTCGTGAAGGAGATCGAAGAGAATGTTTTTATAGGAATTTAAATCGTGAGACTATGTAAGTCTCACATATTTCTATGCGTAAAGCGCGATGGAGAATGCCGACACGCATAAGGAAACCGCTATCGCCATGGGCGACCCTTATGTCCACGAATTTGGACGCTATAAGTTTGACAAAGCCGTCGATTTAAGGAACCCTCTTTTCTCATCGCCGATACCGGAATGGGGCGATCGTCTATATAAGAGCTTTTCCGAACGTACGTGTAAATATTCCCACAAGCGGGGATCTGAACAAAATTAAGGTAGAATATAATACACATTCCTAAAGATGATGCACATGATACGGATTAATCAATAAATTATCAAAATAATAAGTTTTACGTAGATATCAAAAAGATTTTCATTGGAACTAATTATATTAAAATGTGATTTTGTATTTTTTACAATATACATATACAGTTGTATGTGTATATATATTTTACATTAATGAAATTAATTCAATTTATTGAATGTAAAATACTTATGCAAAAAAGTGTGTTTTCTTAGTTTTATAAACGAACGCTGTCATTAATTTTGCTAACGAGAACACAACAAATATATCTATATTATTTTAATTCCTAAAAATATTAAATTGATACTAAAATCGACATACACGTAACTGCTGTATGTATTCT